TATGTGTGTGTGTGTGTGTGTGTGTGTTTGCGGGGGGGAGGCGACCCACCCACTGCCAATCAATCAATCAATCAATCAATCAATCCATCAATCAATCAATCAATCAATCAATCAATCAATCAATCAATCAATCAATCAATCAATCAAACAATCAATCGATCAATCAATCAACGAATTAATCAATCAATCATTTTTTATTTTTATTTTTCACCCGGGACCAGAATTTTTTTTTTTTTTTTACAGTTTTTCTTAATGGGGGGGTATCCCCAACACCCGACCCCCCCCCAGCCCATCCACCCCCTCAGCACCCCTCCGGAAGGCCGTGTACGGACGGCCTGAAGTCCATACGTACGGGCCGTACAGGCACTGGGGGGGGTCGTACGTACGGACGTCCGCGCGTACGGACGGGCCGTACTCGTACAGCGGTATACACAGACCTCTCTATCTCCACCAAGGGTGTCGGACGCCGCGTTCAGGTGGATGTTACAGAGAAGAGACGGAGAAAGAAACTTGGGCACATCCTCCGCCGGTGGTGTTCGTCGATCTTTGCATGGAGTCAGGTTTCGTCCCAACTTACGGAAGCGCGGCCCGTTGCCCGAGCTCGGACCTTGTCTCAAAGCGTCGCAGCGCGCTTCCGCCCTTCCCGATCGCATACGACGATGGCATATACTGCGATGCAGACATGCGGAGCCTGCTGCGGCACATTGAGCCAATCCATCTTTATAACTCGACCCAGGTGTGCCACATAGGCGAGAGTGGGTTTGTGCTGATTGAGCGATTTGCTTCTCCGCCTTTAATTTTGCCGTACACCGACCTCACGGTGTTGGCATCCGTGTTGCCGTGGTCCACTGTGCACGCCACCTGGCGACGGAGGTTTAATTGTCACCGGTGTCGCCAGGGGGACTCCTGCTCGTGGTGGCGGCTGGTCCTGGGGTACGAAGGGGCTACTCGATCCCCTGAACTCTCCCGCAACACGGGTGCGCTCCCCGCTGTTGGCGCGAATACCCTTGCAAGGGTATTCGCCCTGGGTTTTGCAAGTGACAGCGGGGCCGATGGTCCGGGCCTATGCGCTCAAAAGGCTACCTGTGTATGGACCAAAGTTGTTTAAGTAGGTAAGGTGAGTGGGCGCGCAGTTTCAAGGCGCACGTGTGATTTTGCCCTTTTGATCGTACCGCCGACGCCGGCGTCCGGCTTGACGTCGTACTCTTGATTAGGCCAAGGATTAATGGGCTGGCCTCGCTTACTATGCCTGATCGGCGGCAGGGCTGATAGGTAGGATGGTACGTAGGGCGGCCGTGGCACAGTCAGGGAGGCCGGCGTGATTGTTTGGTAGCCCCGCGCCTGGCCATAGGTGGGGGCAGGGCCTGTGATGTCCTCCTCGGCCCTGAGTACCGGACCGCACTACTTCAGTACTACTTTATATGGGATGCGGCGCCCACTAATCTCAGGCTGGGGCTTAGCCCTATAGGTTACGGTGTCAGACTGTTGCAGCGGAGGTTTGGGGATCGACGCCAGCAGGCGGCAAAGCGGGAGCAGCGACGCAACGGAGCAGCGAGGAGAGGGCTGAGGGGTAGAGGGCCGCCAGGGCTATCCCCCTCAGCTTTTGCTGATACGGGTAGCAGCGG